AAAAAAAAAAAAACTAGACAGAAACTCATCTATATATTCTGTATCTGGAGTTCCGTTTTGAATATTAACTGTGTTATTTTTATACACTTTTTAAGCCTTAACTCGCCATTGATTTACCAGTTTAACGTTTCCTGGGGTTTTTTTTCCCATGGGGTTCTCTGCCCCAGCCCCCACCCCTTTGTTTGACTTGCGTCGTCGGATACTCAGTATTGTAGCTTTTTGTCCGCATGTTACTACCCTGTAAATACGCTGTTATACATACTGTTAACACCCCATTTGCTTTTTTCTATGGGACCTCCAGGCCACCATATCTAGAACTAGTTACCTTATTAAAAAAGAGAAAACAGTCTGTCGGCTTCTCAGTCTGCATCTTGGTGGCAGGGAGGTGAGGGCAGGTGCCCCTCAATGCTTCAGGAAACAGGTTTGCATTCTATTTAAGAGAAGGGGTGGGGAGCAAAATAAAAATCCAGTGTGGGGGAAGACACTACATGGGGCGAGAGACCAAGAATCCCAAACCCTCTGCTCTTTGTATTTCTCTGTTGTGAAGAATAAACTGTACCTGCACCTGGGTGGCGGTGGTGTCTCGCGTGCTCCGTGCGAGGGCGGGGCTGGGGGGCACTTTTCCATTGCTCCTCTCCCCTCCCCCGCCCCCCAGACTTGGGGAAGGAGGGAAATGGCCCCTTCCTGTGGGCTGGCCTCACCCCAGCTGCTGAGCCAAGTGCTCGGTGCCTGGCACCCTATGGCCCCCTATGAAGGAGGCAGAAAACCAAGAGGGGGTTTTTTTTCATTTCTGTTTCGTTGTTGTTGTTTTTGCCGAGGATCATGCTGTAATTAAGTGGCAGGAACACACGTCTCACCCAGGTTTGTCTCGTTCTGAATGAAGCCTTTTTGGATGTATGGGGTCCAGTGGGGTTCACAGCCCCCGCTCCCAGGTGGGGGGCGGCCACATCCCAGTACCCTGCCTGTCTTCGGGGGTCCACCGCAAGTGCCCTGACTGGGACACGATTCCCATGATTGAGGGAACCAAGAAGTCCCCTTCAATCCACTTTTCCCACGTGGGTCAATGTTTTGATTGTGGAGGAGGGAGATGCAGGAATTAATGACCCCAGAGTTTATCAAGGCTGGTCCTCTGTGGGGCATTCTGAGTGAGACAGAAGTGACTCTACCAAGAGTCACCATGGAGCTCGCCTTCAGGAATTCACTCTGAGCCCTCACAGGCCTTGTGAGTCAAGACGTGGCTGCAAGTGTAGAAAGTCCAACCCAAACAAGGATTTATTGGCTTTCATAACAGGACAGTGCGGGACTCAGGCCAGCCTCAGGGCTCACTGTTGTGTCTCCAGCTCTCCACTTTGCTTTGTTCTAAGAGCTGGTTTCACCCTCAGGCTCCTGGGGGGGGGGGGGGGGGGCGGTCAGCAGCTCCAGCCTCACAGGCTCCCCGCAGGGTTTCCTGCAGTCAAGCCTCTCTCTCTTCTAGAAGCCCCAGCAAATATCTGGGTCTTGCTGGTTGGGACTGGGGTAGGTCCCATCCCTGAACCAATCACCATGACCAGAATGTCTATACTTGATTGGCTTAGACCTACAGCCCATGCTCTAGGCCTGGAGCATCAGGTGAAACCCCAATCTGTAGTACATCTCCCCAAAAGGAAACCAGATGTGTTGACATGAGGAGGGGTAAATGGATATGGAGTAGCCAGGAACCTGTCTTCGGTAACCTCACGGGCCTCAAGGCGTTCTCGGAAATTGACCTCCCACAGCCTGCTGTGCTAAGGGGTGAGCTCTGGCGGCCATGTTTGCATCACTTGACCCGATCCCAGCCACAACCGAGTGGCCAGCAGTGGACATTTGACTCAGCCGTTGAAGTCTTAGACCGATGGTAGCGATGGTGCCAGCGGGATGCGTTGGCTGTCCTGGTTCATGAGTGGGTAGTGCACACCACACGCACGTGGCCGACTCCACATTTGGTGGATGTGGTGGTGTTGAATTGGCCATGGTGGGGTTTCTACAACAGAAACTGGCAAAGGCTACAAATCTGGGCTTTCTTTTTCCTGGAGGAGCCAGTTGCTAAACATTTGCCAGCACACCATTGGCTGACTCTCCAATCAGATTTTCCGGTCCGTGAATTAGGAAGAGGTCCAGTTCAGGAGCCCCGAAGAGCCCGTGGCCCAGGGGTAGGGACGTCTGTTGGGCCACACACAAGCAGGACAGAGGCAGACAGAAGCAGAGGCGGACAGAGAAGACCTGGATAGAGCCTGCGTCAGACTCGGTTCCTGACTTTGGATCTCCATCTTCCGGGCAGGTTTGATTTCCTGCTTGTTCTCACATCAGTGAATTTAAGTTGCTGGTGGCACGACATCGGGCAAGTCACTTAACCTCTCTGTGCCTGATTTTCTCATACGTAAAATGAGGGAGACGACAGCAACCAACATACAGGGCGGATGTGGGGATTAAATGAATCAGTATATGTCCAATGCTTCAAACTTTGCCCAGTGCATACTAAGTACCAGTAAGTGTAATTGTTATTATTTGACATGGCCCCGGTGGATCTAAATCCCTTATGACCAGTGAACTCTGGCTAGACAGCTGCTGGTGTTTGGGGATTTCTGGGGATGACATCTGAGCTGGCCTGGCAGGGTGGGGCAGCAGGGGCAGGTGAAGATTTTGCATGTAGAAGCGGCACTCCGAGGACTGGGAGGACTGGCAGCTTTTCACCTGCTCACCTGGAAGCTCTCAGGAGCTTCCACTGTCTCTGAGGGCCCCGGCCTGGGTGCTGAGGACAGTGCTGACTGACAGTGACACCGATGGAAGTGGCCGCTGAAGAAGCTTATCCGCCCTTGTTATTCCTGCTTCTGCCCCAAGTCCCTCTAATGTCCCCCCCATGGGCCTCCGGGTAAGACAAAGGAGGGAGACACTCCCAAGAGGTTGTCTGTTCCACACTGCATCTTCCTTGACTCTTCCCTGTCCTCAGGAAGGTCCCTACCCACAGTGCGAAGCTGTCCCAGTCCAGCACCTGGAAACCCCTGACCCAGCCATCATTTAAAACAGGAAATGGCTGTTCTTTTGGCAAAGCCTTTGACTCCACGGACTTGGTGGAGAAGGGGCAGGCAAGGACGGGGAGAAGGCAAGTTACATTTTCTGCAGCATCACGACAACCTCCGCAGGGAGGGTGATGGGCACCCCCGCTTTACAAATCTGAGGAAACCGAGGCTCAGCAAGGTGAGGAACTTGTCCACGGTCACGCGCAGAGTTAGAAGAGAAGCAGATCTTACTGGCTGGTGCTCAGGCCTCTCATGGCCACGGGGTGTGTGTGAAGGTGGGTGTGGGTGGCCCTCGGGGAATGCTGCAGGGTAAGAGAGAGGAAGGAATGTGCCAGCTCAGAGCCATCAAGCAATAACCTGTTCTAAGGTACAGCTGGCCTGTGCTTATCTAAACCAGAGTCCAAAAGGCCTTCTGGGTTTTGCTAATCCAGTTTGGGTGGGAGGCAGTGGGGAGCTTTGAACTGCGTTTGAGAGGGGCGAGATCTCTTATGTCACATCATCAATAAGTGGAACCCGCTTGTAAAAATGATCAGATTGTGAAAACCATCAGGACGGATTTACACTGGAACTGCTGTCCTTCCTGGGAACAGTGGAGGCTCATAAAAACGCAAGGTCTGTGAGAACACTGTATACTGGATTCGGGAGACCTGGAGTGAAATCCCACCCTCCCAGGGCCTCAGTTTCCCCAAGTGTCAGAGGACAGGGCAGGGGCTTCCAAGCTGCTACCTTCCCCGTCTCCTTGGCCCCGTAACCACCTTTCCCGCAGGGCCTGATGATTTCACCTGCTGTTCAGAGCCTGTGTTTCCCACTCCCCCCGCAGCCCCCCACCCAGGGATGAAAAGTCTAGATAGCAGACACGAGTAAGGAAACTTACCAGGCCCAGACTATGGGCCCCGCATCAAGGAAATGTCCTTTTTGTGGACACTGTCCAGGAGAGAGGGCCGTAAGGATACCTTTGGAATAATTTTATTATAATATTACTTAAATACGTACAAAGTTGCTTGAGGGTGGGGGGGAGCAAAGCCAAGGACTCAGATGTTTCTTCTGTGGCAGCAGCTTTCTCCTGTTCACCCAGAAGCTACT